GCAGTGTTAAATGAGGTCGTTCCTTGAGGAACCTCTAAATCGTTGAGTTGAACTATCACCTGTCCCCTCTGAATTACTGTTCTGAGGCCACAATTCGAGTAAGGAAACCACCCCCATGGATTTCACAGGTAAGTGTAGGCTCTCTCCCACAGATGTTGACCAGACCACACACTAGAAGGTGAAGGGACGACGACGTTTCGGTCCATCCTGGACCATTTCTCAAGTCGATTTCTCCCACATATATTGTCTCCCCCTTTGCGTAAGCAGACGCAAAGGGAGCCCGTTTGCGTACCCAGTAAATGACGCTAGAATCACAATCCCGCCACAGACCCCCCCAAGCTCATCCCAGCCTATGTATCCTGCCGGAGAATATCGCCACCAAGTTCATCATGTAGTTGTCCTGAGATTCCGGGTTCGATCCCCGGTGGAGGCGGAAACAAATAGGCAGAGTTTCGTTCACCTTGATGGCCCCTGTTCACCTAGAGCCCCTGATGCCCGTGAACACGGACATCAGGGTGAAAGAAACTGCACATTTGTTTCTGCCTCTGCCGGGGATCGAACTCCGAGGGAGACATTCCACCGTCGAGGTCAATCCCCCACCTCGTGCAACTCGACCTCTGCTAGCGGTCTGCTGTAGGCAACATTGCAAGCAGAGGCGGTCGGAAAGTAGCTGAATCCTACACCAAGTCACTTGCCCCCATTATGTGCCTCTGTAGCCCACTCCACCACCGCCCACGGGATGGGAATGGGGTGCATAAATAAAGAAATGAATCTGTGTCTGATTTAAGATACTGGAGGAAGGAGATATCTCCCCCTCCCACCCCCCCCCCAGGCGAGGGGGTAAGTGCCCCCCAGCAGCATCAGGTATCAAGCCATTACCAGGAGGAGGAGGGGGGGGGGATATATAATGTCCAATCATGTGTGGTCACACGCTGAGGGGGAAAGATAACGAGAGGGGAAGATGGAAGAGATAAGAGATTGGGGCAACACAATATGGGAGGGGACAAGGGGAGATGTATGATTATGGTGTGAGGGAGGGTGGGGGGGGTGGAAGGGAAGAACAAATAAAAGATGGGAGAGAAGGGAAGGAGGGAAGTGAAGAACGGAGAACAAAGAAACATTAGGGAAAGTGGATAATGTTAAGTGAACGGAGAGAGTGAGAAACGTTGAAAGTGGATAAAGGGAAGGGGGACCAAGATAAGAAACAGTCAAAGAATAAAGGAGCACCAAGCAAATATAAGGAAAAAGACGCATGTGAAAGGAACAGGAACAGGGGTCATAAATCAGGTGGACCAGGCCTAGATGAACGTCAGGAAAGAACACCCACGAAGTACATTTTGAGAGAGAGAGAGAGAGAGAGAGAGAGAGAGAGAGAGAGAGAGAGAGAGAGAGAGAGAGAGAGAGAGAGAGAGAGGAGAGAGGAGAGAGAGGAGAGAGAGAGAGAGAAAAAAGAGCGTCGCCAGGAGAGGGAAGTGGGGGAAGCCTAGTAGACAAAACTCGTCAATTTCAACTTTTTACCTTCGCTACACAAGGACGGTTCAGCGAAGATTTAATTAAGACGCTAAGTACAGCAAAAACTAAACGCCCAAAATAGACTCGACAACTTTATTAAATGTGTGTGTGTGTATTTACTATTTGTATCTGCAGAATCGAGGTATTAGCTCTTGGACCCCGCCTTTCTAGCCAATTTATTTTTCCTGTATTATATCTACTACATACATTTATCTTTAACACACACACACATCCCCTGGAAGCAGCCCGTAGCAGATGTCTAACTCCCAGGTACCTGTTTACTGTTAGGTGAACACGGGCATCAGGGTGAAAATAACTGCACATTTGTTTCTGCTTCTGCCGGGGATAGAACCCAGAGCGCTGTCCAGAGAGAGCATCTGTACTCGGACACTGACAGCTGAGTAGACAGCGCTTCGGATTCGTAGTCCTGAGATTCCGGGTTCGATTCCCGGTGGAGGCAGAAACAAATGGCCAGAGTTTCGTGCACCCTGATGCTTCCGTTCACCTAACAGTAAATAGGTACCTGGGAGTTAGACAGCTGCTACGGGCTGCTTCCTGGGGGATATGTAACAAAAAGGAGGCCTGGTCGAGGACCGGGCCGCGGGGACGCTAAGCCCCGAAATCATCTCAAGATAACCAGGTGGGTGGGGTGCGTGTGTTATCATGAGTTATCTAGAGAGGATTTCGGGGCTTTTTTTTTTTTTTAGTGTCCCCGCGGCCCGGTCCTCGACCAGGCCTCACCCCCCAGGAAGCAGCCCGTGACAACTGACTAACTCCCAGGTACCTATTTTACTGCTAGGTAACAGGGGCATAGGGTGAAGGAAACTCTGCCCATTGTTTCTCGCCGGCGCCCGGGATCGAATCCGGGACCCCAGGATCACAAGTTGTGTTGTTACACTATACTGGACTAACACACAATTATCTCCCAATTTATATACATATTTAACAATATTCACAATTGCTTAAAAAAAAAAAAAAACAATATTAACAACAGAAGCGTTTTAACAAAACGAGGACGGACCCAAATCCTAAAATGGCGAATGACACAGTTTCGTTAAAATATGTCTCGTGAACAAACCCACAAGGGCCGTGACGTAAGTTCCGTTTCAACTCCTTTTGACCCTGTCGTAGCTCAGTCGATTAAGGCAGCGTCTGGGATGCTCTCGGACGCAGGTTCGAATCCTTGTCTTACGGATTTGTTCATTTGATGCATCACGCAATTGTGATTTCTGTGTGAAATATGTCTTGTATTACGAAGGAGGGGTGCTGGGGGGGAAAGGGGGGGGGGTTGTTTGGGGGGGAAAGGGGGGGGTTGTTTGGGGGGAAAGGGGGGGGTGGTTGTTTGGGGGGGAAATGGGGTTGTTGGGGGGGGGGTGAACGTGAGGCGACAGCTGGAGGTAGTCCACCAATCAGGGAGCTGGGGATCAGGCAACTGCTGGGAAAATAACCTATCAGGAAGGTTGCTGGGAGAACAACCAATCAGAGGCGCGGAACAAGCAATCGGCGACAAAGCCACTCTCGAACAACCAATCAGTGAGGCAAGCTGTTATATGGCACAGCCAATCACTGAGGGAGGTTACGGCGGAACAGCCAATCAGTGAGGTAGGGTGAGAGAACAGCCAATCAGTGAGACAGGCAGTCTGGGACCAGCCAATCAATGAAGTAGTCTGCCTGGGAAAACCTGACCCTAGTGGGCGGAGAACACAAGGCAGTATTCCCACCTAGGAAAAAAATGTACAACAGAGAAAGTACTGCCACACGAAAGTACTGCCACACGAAAGTACTACCACACGAAAGTACCGCCACACGAAAGTACTACCACACGAAAGTACTACCACACGAAAGTACTGCCACACGAAAGTACTACCACACGAAAGTACTGCCACACTTAAGTACTACCACACGAAAGTACTACCACACGAAAGTACTGCCACACGAAAGTACTGCCACACGAAAGTACTACCACACGAAAGTACTACCACACGAAAGTACTGCCACACGAAAGTACTGCCACACTTAAGTACTACCACACGAAAGTACTGCCACACGAAAGTACTGCCACACGAAAGTACTGCCACACGAAAGTACTGCCACACGAAAGTACTACCACACGAAAGTACTACCACACGAAAGTACTGCCACACGAAAGTACTACCACACGAAAGTACTACCACACGAAAGTACTACCACACGAAAGTACTGCCACACGAAAGTACTGCCACACGAAAGTACTGCCACACGAAAGTACTGCCACACGAAAGTACTGCCACACGAAAGTACTGCCACACGAAAGTACTACCACACGAAAGTACTGCCACACGAAAGTACTGCCACACGAAAGTACTGCCACACGAAAGTACTGCCACACGAAAGTACTACCACACGAAAGTACTACCACACGAAAGTACTGCCACACGAAAGTACTGCCACACGAAAGTACTACCACACGAAAGAACTACCACACGAAAGAACTACCACACGAAAGTACTGCCACACGAAAGTACTACCACACGAAAGTACTGCCACACGAAAGTACTACCACACGAAAGTACTACCACACGAAAGTACTGCCACACGAAAGTACTGCCACACGAAAGTACTACCACACGAAAGAACTACCACACGAACATAGCAGTACAGGGGCACTATGTCAACACCGCCCAGTTACACAAAGCTCTCAATATAATTTTGCTGCGAGGACAGAATCTATTGGGCAGTGTTACTCAGGCCGTGAGTGAGCGCACCAAACCTGCAAACTAACCCAATTGGCCTAAAACAGTTGGAGCGATGGTCTCGCTTCATGCAGGTCAGCGTTCAATTCCCAATGATCCAAGTGCTATATAGTCGTAATGGCTTGGCGCTTTCCTTAATAATTCACTTCCCTCTTGCGTTCCAGTGCCCAACCACTTGGCATTAGACAGGGGGGGGGGGGGGAAAGAGACGCTCTCGTTTCATGCAGGTCGGCGTTCAATTCCCGATGATCCAAGTGGTTGGGTACCATTCCTTTCCCTCTGTCCTATCCCAAATCCTTATCCTCCCATCCCTTCCAAGTGCTTTATAGTGGTAATGGCTTAGTGTTATCCTGTGTTATCGTGTGTTATCCTGATAACCTTATCTCTTACGTTCAAGTGCCATATTCCGGCAATGTCTTACTCAACCAGCACTTAACAATATTAAAATTCCATTTTAAGCTTACATACAAACTATATAAATGTATTAATATACATCTACATGCACAAAGTTAACAAAAAAACGGTTTAAGATAGACTATGTATCCTCGTTTTCTTAACTGAAAAGAAATCTGCTGAATTTTCTACTGGAAGTCTTAGAATTAGTTTCTCCTAAGACGTAGCAATGTAGCAGTTTAAAGCAGATGCAGTAGTAGAAGCAATAGTAGTAGAAGCAGTAGTGGTAGAAGCAGTAGTGGTAGAAACAGTAGTAGAAGCAATTGTTGTTGAAACTGCAATAATTCCTAGCCCTGTTCACAGTACCCCAGAGCAGCAGTGCCACTGGGCCAGTCCCCCACGGGGCAGCAGTGCCACTAGGCCAGTCCCCCACGGGGCAGCAGTGCCACTTGGCCAGACCTACCCACGGGGCAGCAGTGCCACTGGCCAGTCCCCCACGGGGCAGCAGTGCCACTAGGCCAGTCCCCCACGGGGCAGCAGTGCCACTTGGCCAGACCTACCCACGGGGCAGCAGTGCCACTGGGCCAGTCCCCCACGGGGCAGCAGTGCCACTAGGCCAGTCCCCCACGGGGCAGCAGTGCCACTGGGCCAGACCTACCCACGGGGCAGCAGTGCCACTAGGCCAGTCCCCCACGGGCAGCAGTGCCACTAGGCCAGTCCCCCACGGGGCAGCAGTGCCACTGGGCCAGTCCCCCACGGGGCAGCAGTGCCACTGGGCCAGTCCCCCACGGGGCAGCAGTGCCACTGGGCCAGACCTACCCACGGGGCAGCAGTGCCACTGGGCCAGACCTACCCACGGGGCAGCAGTGCCACTGGGCCAGTCCCCCACGGGGCAGCAGTGCCACTGGGCCAGTCCCCCACGGGGCAGCAGTGCCACTGGGCCAGTCCCCCACGGGGCAGCAGTGCCACTGGGCCAGACCTACCCACGGGGCAGCAGTGCCACTGGGCCAGACCTACCCACGGGGCAGCAGTGCCACTGGGCCAGTCCCCCACGGGGCAGCAGTGCCACTGGGCCAGACCTACCCACGGGGCAGCAGTGCCACTGGGCCAGACCTACCCACAGTGCCAAGAGCGCCCCCTGCCCCCCAAACATTTCCTATGCCAGCCGCTGTGTAAATTCATTGACAATTGCCGCGCCTTGCTGCCACACATTCCAACTCCTCCCGACAGGAATTCATAAACTGACTTCAGACATTCTGAATGCCTCGGTGGAAGCGGGAAATGTGGGGGTAAATTCCCAGACATTTTGAAAACTCTGAATATTGTCAGAAAATTTTGATAGTCATCTGGACAAAAACAAAAATTGTTGCTAGTGGATTTAATGTCTCATAAAAATTAACTAAGTTAATTATGAGGAAAAGATACTAAGACAGCATGGTCATATATAACCTGGAAGGGATACGATGACAAGGAGCTGGGATATGAGGACGGAGTGAAGGAATGGTGCCCAATCGTTTGGACTATAGGGTATCGAACGCAGACAACGCAAGAACCAAAGCCTTCGTTAAACAACGATCAGGGAAAAGCCCCAAGAGGAACTACTCAAATCAAATCTTATTAATATATCTATGGGTATCTGAACCCCATGTGCTATGTAGAACACAACGTCTCCCAATAACACACAAAGAAACACATATATATATTACAAACTAACCTTACAAATAGCGAAACACACACATGGCGTGAACACTTAGATAGTAGTACAAGAGGAGGAGGAAGCAGCAGCAGCAGAAGCAGAAGAAGCAGCAGAAGGAGAAGATGAACCAGCAGTGCAACAGTAGTACTGTTAATATCGAAAGACCATAGATGTAACATTGAAAGTTGGTAGTGAGATGGGGGGTGACCCGACTGGTAGCCTGGGTCATCCCTAGGGATTAGTATAGAGAAAACGGTGGCGCCACTCTCCTCCCGTGACAAAACATCAAACTAGCAGAAGCCGCAACAGCAGAAGAAAAAGAAGAAAAATAATAAGCAGCAGCAGCGGCGGCAGCAGCAGCACTGGCAGCAGCAGCGGCAGCAGCAGCAGCACTGGCAGCAGCAGCAGCAGCAGCGGCGAGTCCCCAGCAGCCATCTTGGGCGAGTTCTGACGGCGATAATTACAAAGGCGGGAAAGTTTTTCCCGCCTTTTGAGATTTGTGGAGCCTCAGTTGCCAGTTAGTGCGATTTTGTTTTGTTTTGTTTTTTTATGTTATGACATTTTTTTTGTAACTTCAAGTCTTTTTATTCAGTATCTTAATTTAGAGTTTATACAGTAAGTATTGTATTTTAAAGTGTGTAGCCACTTTTGCAAGACGTTCTTGCAATATACTGAGAATTATAATTTTTTTTTACCTTGTCAACATTTGACGTCTAAGATAAATTTGTTAAACTATGCGTCAAAGGTTGACAGTTTAATTCTGGATGACCTTCCGAAGATCTTGTGTGTATATAAAGGAAGAAAACTTGCCTACAACACCCACACACATTAAGTTTTCTGCTTAGTGCTCGTTGAGTAGACCTGAAGAAGGGTTCGAGTCCACTCAAATCTGAGGCCAGATTCACCAAGCAGTTACGCAAGCACTTACGAACCTGTACATCTTTTCTCAATCTTTGATAGCTTTGTTTACAATTATTAAACCGTTAATGAGCTCCGAAGCACCAGGAGGCTGTTTATAACAATAACAACAGTTGATTGGCAAGTTTTCATGCTTGTAAACTGTTTAATAAATGTAACCAAAGCCGTCAAAGATTGAGGAAAGATGTACACGTTCGTAAGTACTTGCGTAACTGCTTCGTGAATCCAGGTCCTGGAGTTTACCTGGAGTCAGTTACGAGAGTTCCACTTCCCAAGCCTGCAAGGATTGTTTTGTAGTAACTTGATCTAACACACTGTTGCTTGAAGCGGCCTGCGGGACAACATACCCACAACAGCCCAGTTGGCCCCGCACCTCCTGTAGGAATTTGGTATATATTTTCCCTCTGCCCGCAGGCTGACGTTTGACTCACAGCTCACTTGATCAAGAACCATTTGCAGGTGTTTATAAAGTCCCCTTTTGTACCCCATGAGAGGTCTGCTGGTTATGGCACCTGACACACACACACTTATATTTCGAGGGAGTTAGTTTAGTTCATTTATTATGCACCCCATACCCATCTTGTGGGCGGTAGTGGAAAGGGTTACAGAGGCACATAATGGGCTCAGGGACTGAACCCCACAATTCATTTAGCTAAGCAAGTTACAATCTTGATGAGCTAGTTACAAAATTCAGTATAAGTCGTCACATCAACAATGGGTTCGAGATCGACCACAAGTACAGTTTCGAGGGAGTGTGTCAAGTCTTACTGCTTATAGTCTCTTAACAGTACTTGTCAAATATTGATACTGTTCTTAAAAGATTTCCCCATTTTGCACCCGCAAGATAACGTAAGCTTTTAAGGGTTGATAGATGTTAATCTTCTTGTTTGAGGAGCTGTTCACTTGAGACAGTTAAGCAAGTCCCAGCTGTGTCTGGGTACAAGTGACAGGATGAACAACCCAGCGGGTTTTCTTCCTATTGGGGAGTGTTGTACATGCTGCTATGGCGGTGTGTCCACTCACAAGATGAGTGGCGCTGCCCAATAAACTCGCCCCTCGGGGCAAAATTTAAAAAAAATAAATTTATAACCCCATTGAGAGGTAAGGGGGCAGTATGTTGCACATTCTGCCATGTCTCCTTGCTGCATAAGGATTTATTTCAATGATTTGAAGGTTTGGAAGCAGACCGTTTTAATATTTTCCAAATATTAGGTGCAAGTAGGTTAGCCCCTACCCCTATCGGTGTCTATGGGGCGGGGGGTAGGGAATGGGGTTTAGCTTGATTGATTGATGAAGATTAAGTCACCCGAAAGGTGGCACGGACATGAATAGCCCATAAGTGGTGGTGACCCTTTTGAGCCATTACCAGTATCAATAGATGATACTGGAGATCTGTGGAGGTGCGACTGCACCCAGCGTGACGGGAGATGTCTCCCTCGGGGTTTAGCTCTTTTATGTCCCGGTTTATAACCCAGTTACCTGATACCTGGTTGATACCTGATACCTGGTTGATACCTGATACCTGGTTGATACCTGATACCTGGTTGATACCTGATACCTGGTTGATACCTGATACCTGGTTGATACCTGATACCTGGTTGATACCTGATACCTGATACCTGGTTGATACCTGATACCTGAACCAGGTATCAGGTAACCCAGTTGTTTTGCTGTATGATTTAAAGAGGGGGGGGGGTCTAATAAGCAACTTCTCCAGCTTTGAATGGGGCTGTTAGTGTGCACAATATTCCACCCAAAAGTGCACCACTGCCTTAACAATTATCATTTTTGGTTAGCATCTTTTGTTTGACAGGTTACTGTTGTAATCCAACCTGTTATTTTCCTTGAAATTTATTTTGGTTTTTCTTGCTAAAGGTTGGTCTGACTGCATTTAATATGTGGTTCTTCTCTTTATTTCTTCATTGTTACCGTAACACAGTAGCTGGAACGTGTGTCAGTGTGGATCTTTACTGTATCCACTGTAGTTCATATATTCATAAAAATCGTAGTGTCGTCTACGATGCATTACAATACGACATGTCGTCTACAATACGACATTCTAGTTCGTGTCCGGGTCTGTGTTCGATATGAGTATGAACAAATGTACTGAAAACAGATGCACGTTAAAAGAAGATAACTTCTCCAAAAACAGATGCACGTTAAACGAAAAAACAACGTCTCCAAAATATCAGCGTGTCACATAGTCCCCTTGTGATAACAACTGAACTACAAAAGCATACCACGTTAATTTCCAAAACAAGCCTCCCCCCCCCCCTCCCTCACCTTTGGTTATCTCACTCACCGCCCAGTCCTCCCAGGGGACGCTGGACCCCTGACGATATCTTGTACTTCGGTTATATATAGCCGCCTGACCTTCACTGCAGATCATATTCCCTTTGGTTTTTGCACCCTGGCTAATGCTATTGGGGCCGCCGCTTGCATGCCTGTGTTCTTGGTAACTAAGGGAGAGGCTATTTCAGGGAAATACAGATTATGAGTTTATGGATGAATGTATGTATCTGTGTGTGTGTGTGTG